TTTATACACTAAAATACTGTGTCACAGTGTCCAGGCTGAACAGTCCCAGGCATCTCAGCCTCTCATAAATGACAGAAACTCCAGTTCCTTAACCATCTTTGTGTCCCTTTGATGGACTAACTCAGTCTGTCCGTGTCTGTCTTGTACTGGAACACCCAGAGCTGGACTCCACACTCCATCTGAGTCTCCTCAGAGCTGAGCAGAGGGAAGGTTCGCCTTCTCCACCTGCTGGCAGTGCTTTTCCTAGTGCAGTTCAGGATACTGCTGGCTTTTTTTTTTTGCCACAAGGATGTACTGCCAGCTCATGTCTGACTTGTTTTCCAACAGGACCGCCACATATTTTTATCCAAAGTTGTTTTCCAGCTGGTGAGCCCCCAGCATATAGTGATGCAGGTGGTTATTCCTCCCTAGAGGAGAATTCACTCCACCTTACTTATCTCTTTAATTATGTCTACTACAAAAGGCAGCTTTTGAAAGTAGAAAGGATAATTTTCATAGATTCTCAGTGGCTCTTATGCTTTCCATACATGAAAATGTGTGTCAGAAGCAGGTTGTTACATAAAATCTTCAGCAATTAATGTTTTTTAAAAGGTCTTTGCTTAATAGTCACTATTAGTCATGATAGACATGACCCCTCATTTCCTGACAGTATTAATTTTGAGAAGCTCTGCCTTATCTGTCATTACAAATAACAGTAAAGCTAATCTGGGCTGATTTCCTATGCTAAGCAAATTTACCTGGCTGATCTTTTTTAAATAGAAATGATGTTTTAATTGACAGCCTAAGGATATCAGCGAGGTAAGTTATGTAAGGACAAGTAATGTCTTTTACTAGACTAATCACTTGAGTATAAAAAAAAATGAGGCAGGATTTGTTAGGCAGGAGTGTTTCTGTGGAATTGCTAACAGCAAAATGTAGATTTAGTCTGTGCCAAATCACACAGATAAAACCAAGGCAGGGAGAAGGTAGAATAGCCACTTATTACTAATAATCGTGAAGATTTCTTCAGTGTACTCTCTGCACAAGATTTCAGTGAGTTCTACCTACCCGAAAAGTTTACACAAGGGGTAGTATTATACCTAAAATTCTACGTTCATGACATTCTATGTTCTCTTTTTCAATTTTAATTGGTGCTATCAAGCAAATTTACCTGAATTACCAATTAACACATTCTGAAATGTAAGTATTATAACCTTTGCAAATCCCATTCTTCACAAAATGAATAAGGGAAGAAGAATTTGAGTTATTACATGTTGAATAGAGTTTCTCTTCAACTGGGAAGATATTCCTCTTATTTCTTTGGCAGTTGTGAGGTCAGCAGTGAGTATTTGGTCACTTGTTCACCTGACCATCAAATCCAGTTAGACAAGAAATTGAGTGCCTTTGCTGTACAGAAAACCAGATTTTTGTTATCTCTCCATCACTTTTGCTTTGAAAATATGCAAAATGTATTCTCTTAACTGCAGTAAACTTTTTTTCACTTAATTTAGGCCTGATATGTGATTCACCTGCTTCTTCTCTGCTTCCCCCACATCTTCTGGTGTCTAGGTTCACCCTGATTTTCAGGTGACGGGCACCAGCTGTTAACACAGCTCCAGTTTATCAACAAAGTTAGCTCTGAATGGTGCAGATAAAATGGAGTAAATTAAGTAGCTATATAAGGAAAATGCCATTAGCACCAGCTCAAGACAGAGACAGCAACTTGAGAAGGAAATTTCCAGAAATACCCATGGAATACTGGATCCCAGCTGCAGGGAGTAAGGCTTGAAAAGGGCTCCTCTGCCAAGTGTGTTCCAAGTACTGCTCCAAGGCTTGGTTGCACCACTCAAGCAGCTTTTTTGAGGGCTCTGCTGAGGATAGTTCTGTTATTAATATTTTTGTCTTTTCCTGGTGGAAATTCTTGAGTCTTCTTTGCTTCAAGTAACTGAAATAAGTTTCTATGGGATGTAGAAACTATGCTCAATAGTCTATGTGTAAACATTATTTTCTAGAAGTTCGCTGAACTTTGAACAAGTAACAGATTAATTGGTTATTTCAAGAAGTATTATTTGGAGTCTTTGGTACAGATTAACTTTATAGGGGTTTTATATTTGCTTTGACTGTTGTGTTTCTTTAAAACAAATTGTTTATTTTTAAAATAAGTTTGCTATTCACTCAGTTGCTATTTGTGTATCAGAGAATGCTGAGGCTTTTAAATTCTGGTGAATTCTGGTGTACTTTGAATTCAAATTTTAAAACTGTAGTTTAACAGAGCTAGAATAATTCACATCTGAACTCTTTACATGAAGGAAAATGGGGCTTCTTGAGTGCCAGGTTCTTATTTATAATGGAACTTTCACTGTTAGGTGTTTTATCTGTTTTCCTTATGTTCCTGAAAGACTTTTGATACCTTCTACTTCCTTAAGATTTTAATTCTAGAGAGAAATGATTATGAGAAAATCTGCTTGTAGAAAGTTGACTTTTATCACATGAAAATAACTTGCAATTGCTAATGCATCATATGCAAAAAAAGCCAAATACTTATTGTGCCTTATAAATCAAGGAATGATAAGTTGTTTTTATTGGTGTTTAGATGCGTGACTTGGATTCTTTGCTATGTTCAATATCTTGGAGCTTGAGGTTTAAATCTTCAGTAAGGAAAATCCTTTCTGTGCTTGGGGGCTTGTTTGCCTGAGGAAAACTCTGGTCATACTTTTGCAGTACAGAGAGAGAAGGATTTATCAACAAAGTGGTTTTGTATAAGGAAATACAAGTGAAATTGTGACTTCTCACAATGAGAAAACACTGTCTGAGGGAAGTGGGAAAGCACTGTTTGTTAAGTCAGATGATTTTTGTGCTGTTAAATTGCACAGAATGGAAGGAATAACAAACTGTGTGGGAGTATGAGAGAAGTGTGATAAAGGGAAGGAACAAAAATGATTTGTGGAAGTTTTAAGTAATTTCACAGCTGCATTTTTCCCAAATAATGTCAGTTGCTAACTGTGTAGTGATTCTCAATGGCAATTTTTCCTTGTTTTTTTAAGATTGATATGAATCCCAAGGGGTAGATAGAACAGGATGAGTTTTAGGGAAGGCATTTGCAAAGAGGCAACACAAAACAAAGAGTTTTCTGTGTATGATCTTTAAAGAATTAACAGGTAGTTTTGTAAAACAAGACCCAAAAAACCCCTTATTTTGAGGATGTAATGGAGAGATGTGGGGACGGAGAGATGGGCACCCCACAAAAGTCACACTTAAGAGCCCTGCAGTGGCCCATGGCACCTAATATATAGGATTAAATGCAGATGTAAGAGAGGAAATACTATTTTTAAAAATCAGTGTATTAACTGAATGCATGAGACTTAAAGCTGTGGTTTGAATCCATTATGCCTTGTCACACCTATTTACCATGTGCACTGTCAGCTCTGGTGTTTTTACTGAGTTTGAAACTCTTAAAAGTAGAGCTCAAACCTGAAAAATATGACAAAATAGCAGAGTTAGCTTTGATCTGTAAAATAACACCTGAGTGAGGTATTAGTTGTGTAGGAAAAAATATCTATTCCTGAGCTGACTATGGAGCACAAAATGAGGTGCTGAGGTGTTAAGATTTCCAAATAAATTGGAATGACTTTGAGAGAATTAGGTCTGGTTTTATCAGACGACTTTTACTCCATGTTCATGCTTTCATGGGGAGAAGCTGTGAAAAAGCAGAGAGATGAATTACAGTTGGACTTTGATCTAAGAAAGATAAAAGAAGATATTTTGGATTTCTAAAAAAATCAGTTTTAAGGGTCAGCTAGTGAAAAGTTAGTACACCCTGTTAAGTATTTTCTTTTTCAGTATAAACAGGAGCTGCTTGATCCTGTGAGCAGAAGCGGATAAGTAAAATATGATTTTTCAAGTATTTAATTCATACCTAATAGTTGTGATCTATTTCTTACTGGCACTAAGTAGTGTACATAGAACAGTACAAAAACACAAAAGGAGGTTTTGGAAGGTATTCTCCAGGTATTGAAGCTGATAATACTTGGAAGCTGTATCTTGTAAGGGACATTACTATGGAAAAGATATACAATGGGTTTTTTTTAAAACCTGTAGGTAAGTTACAGGGCTGTGTAAGATCTATGTATTTTGTTACAGGACTGTGTAGATCTGTAGATTTTCGTGTGAAGTTCTACAGATCCACTCTATAGTTTGGGGGGAGGGGGGGAATATAATTTGTGAGAAATCTTGAATTGACTCTTTTGGCTTCAACAAGTATCTTTTCACTTACATCCTACAAAGAGTGAGCATATGGCAAGAATAGAAAGAAAAATTCAGAATCCTTTTGAACTAACAGATAAAAATCCAATCCTCTGAGTTTTACACATTTTGGCATAGTTGCGACATTATCAAGGATGCACATTTTCAAGGACGTGCATTCTCTCCCGCTTTACTTTGCGTGCCTGGCTCGGCTGGCTGTAGATGGCAGGATCTTTGGGCGGGGGGAGGGGGGTCGCGCCTTGTGGGAAGCTGTGAAAAGTGCATTTCAAAGTTAAATTAATTTAGTAATTATTTATATTTAATTTTAAAGTTAAATCACTGTAGTCTGAAAGGACTTGAGACAGAGACACGGGCAGACCCCGCGTCCAGCCCTGCCGCTCCCCGGTGAGGCCGAGCGGGAGCGCCCTCGCACCGCGCAGGGACGAGCCGGGGTCCTGGGCTTGGTGCCGGGCTCCGCGATGGGGAAACCCCACAAAGGCTCCTTTGAGGAATTCGGGAGCTCCGCGGCTGCCCCGTATAATCCCCGGTTCGAGCGGTGACCCCCGCCCCGGGAACCGAACAGGCTCCGAGCCCGAGGGCCGGGACGCGGGTCCCGGTCCCGAGCCCGGTCCCGGTCTCCCCTCGCCCCGCCCACCGATCACCTCATTGGCCGGCCGGCCTCCGCCGCCGCCGCTGATTGGCGGTTCCGCGCGACCCTCATTTGCATGCGGCGGTGGAGCCGCGCCGGGGAAGTTGCGCCGGAGCCGCGGCCGCGCTCCCGTCCCGCCCCGCCGGACCCTCCGCAGCCTTTCCCGAGGCTGGAGATGCCCCAGCGCAGCCTCCCGCCGGGATGGAGGTAGCCGGACCCTCGAGGAGGGCTCCTTCCCGCTCTGCCGCCGCTCCTCCCGCGCCGCTGGTGGCTCGATAGGGCTTTGCCCCAGCCTCACCTTTCGCGCTGCGCTGCCGGTTGGCTTTAACCCGTCTTTTCCTATGGCTGGGATATACAGCTCTACTCTGAAGACCCTGGAGGATTTGACTTTGGACTCTGGTTATGGGGCAGGGGATTCCTGCAGGTCCCTTAGTCTCTCCTCTTCCAAGTCCAACTCCCAAGCCTTCACCTCTTCTCAGCACAGAGGCAACTGGTGGTACTACTCGGGCTCCATGAACAGTAGGAATAACAGCTGGGATACTGTGAACACCGTTCTGCCGGAGGACCCCGAGGTCGCAGATATCTTCTCCAAGTGCCCTAAGCTGCCGGATCTAGAGGAATACCCGTGGACTGATGAAGACATCGGTAGGATCCTTCGCAAAGGGAAGGGAGATGGCCACGGCAGGACCTTTTCCCAGGAAGCTGTCAGGAGGCTCTCGCAGCTGCTCCGGCGCGCCCTGATCAGGATCTCCAGGGAGGCTCAGCGGCTCAGCGTGATGCACTCCAAATGCACCAGGTTCGAGGTGCAGAGCGCCATCAAGCTCATCCAGAGCTGGTCCCTGTCGGAAAGCTGCGTCTTGGCCACCGTCAAGGCGCTGTCCCTGTACAGCATGAGCGCAGGAGACGGGCTGAGGAAAGGGAAGTCCGCCAGGTGTGGCCTCACCTTCTCGGTGGGGAGGTTTTTCAGGTGGATGGTGGACACGAGGATCTCGGTGAGGATCCACGAGTACGCGGCCATCTCCCTGACGGCTTGCATGGAGAACCTCGTGGAAGAGATTAAGGGTAGGGTTTTGGCAAGTCAGAGCCCGGATGGTGGAGGGGAGATCTCGGCCGAAGTCCTGGAGATGGTTATCAACAATGACGCGGAACTTTGGGGAGTGTTGCAACCTTACGAGCATCTCATCTGTGGGAAAAACGCGAATGGTAAGACCCAGCTTTTACGATTTGTTGTCTTCATACCAGCGAGCTTTACAGTAAAATCCTTGATCTCTATAGACTCAGTGGTTTCCTTGGCTTTTCTTGCCATCTGGATTGCATCTTGGTCGTGGTTTGTGTGTGCGCAAAGCGGGCACGGCGGCTTTACCAGGCAAGAATGATCCTGCTCTATTCTTGAGATGTCCCAGCTTATAAAAGGCGCAGAAGCTGTGGGAAACCAAGCCCTGTTGTCCTAACAAACATCTGACTTTCTACCAGCTGCTGTTTTGAGCATTTTTTACTCTTAACTGGCGTGTAAACCTCTTTCTTTGTAACCGTAAGATGAAATGTGCTCTAGAAGCTGCTCTTCAGAAAATACCACTGTCGCTTTTAGACAAAATTTCTATTATAGTGAGTGTCTTGCAGCTTCATCTTAAAGATGCCGTTCCCACATACAACCTGGAGAGGGAAAACAACATTCAATCTTTTTTCTTTGGAGTAGTAAAATTCAGTTTCTGAGCTCAAACTCATAACTACGTGTTACTTGGGCTTCCTTCTAGTTCAGCAGAGAGCTGTGTTGTCTTGTGCAGTAAACATGAGCTTGTGCTTGGCTTGCCAAAGTGAGTATGTAGGACGGTGCCTCAGTAATGAGAATAACACGATGTTAAGGTACTTACCCCTGTAATTTCTTTGGAAAGCAAAGGTTTTGAGCACTTAAGCAAATAAGCAGATAGAGGAATGTTGGCATCTTCCTACAAGACCGAGGAGCAGTTTGGAAGGCTTAACTGTGACAGTTCTGTTTATTTTGCACTGTCACACTGAGGAATGCCATATTTTTCTGTGGAAAATTCAGGGAAACTTGGAGTTTAGGAAACTATTTTGTGTACCACCCACAGCTTCAGGACTTTCTCTGGCCACATCCTTATGGTCGGTTATTCCATGCTTAACACCTTAATGGTTTAACTCTAAAACCAAGCGGCTTGGCGTTTTCAGAAGATAATCTCATAGCGAGAGACAAGTGAAGGAGAGACAACACCCCCTAGGTGAGTGTTAGCAAGGAAACAGTGTCGAAAGAGGGCTGATTCACCTTCTCCTCCCTGGATGCATTGATTTCCCGAGGTTATCCCGTACCCAAGCAATAATGTCGCGATTCAGATCACGAGTAGATAAGTGCAGTGAGTGTCCCCTGGCTCAAATTCCAAGGTAAGAGACCTCCTGCCGTTAAGGGTGCTCACAAAACCCCTCCTGTGCACTTTATCTGCCCTCCCTCCGCTGACAGTGTCACTAAATGTTTGTGAAATAAATGTGAAGAGCCCTTTGGGATGTTCTCTTGGCACCGTTTCAGGGTAGAACTGTAACTTTCAAAGTCAGAGACTCTACAAACTCCAAGCTCAGGGATGACTAGAGAGGTATGAGGATGTCCTGTCTGCCAAAACACTTGTAATTCTTTGTTTATCCTGGGAGTGTGTGTCACCTGTCCAAAAAGAGGACCTTTTTTCCCCTTATTTAGGGAAGCTGGAGTGAAATATTGTGCTTCTGTGAACTAAAATATACATTTTTTTTTTTTGTGTTCTCTGCTCAGTGCTTTTGCCACACAAGTTCTGTGTGTAAAATGGAGAGGAAAAGTCAGTCCCTTCTTTTTATTTCTTAAGAGAAATCTCCTTGGAAAAAGTGCAGGGAGTGAATGGATGCTGGTGTTCAATCGAAAGAAGGGTGACTGTGCAGGGAAACGCTTATAAATATTCAAAGCACCAAATGGTCAGTTCTGATAACGCTCCTCCAGTGCAAAGCCAGGCAGACAGTGGCCACAGAAGGATTGGCTTCTGTTGCCTCTTTTGTTGTTCCTGCCTTTCAGATCAATTCTGTCAATAATTGGATGCATTTTTTAAGTCTGGAAATTGAATAAAACCGCACATGAAGGCATCCTGTGATTTCCTGTGACAGTCTGTCACTAGTATTTTACCTGACACAAGTCAGTGAATCTTCTAAATGGCTTTTCTTGCAGTTGCAAGGCCACAAATGGTTTTATATGGATGCAAAAAAGCTTGAAATAACTTCTTTCTTCTTCTCCCTGTAGGAATTGTAAATGAGTAGCATTCACATCATTCTCTGCAGTGCTTTCAAGTGATCTTGCTTTTTACATTAATTTGAATCTGAAGTAGATCTGGTGGTGAAATAGCTGGATTTATTCCTGTTTAAGGAACAGGAAAACTTGCTTTGCTGTCACTTTTGCTTCTTTTCTAGTAAGAGCATTTTAGTGGAGGACTCATAAATTGCACGTTTGGCATGTGTGTGTTGGGGTTTTTGTTTATAGCCCTGAGTTTGATGTCAGAGATAAAGAGCACTTAAGAGGTTCAGGTCTAACTCCAGTCAAGCATTGCAATCTTGGGATGAAATCCATGGCGGTGTCCTATGCAGGAGATTATCATAATGGACATTTCTGGCATTATGATCTATGGAATACCATTTTCATTATTAGATCAGGATAGCCTGCTGCTTTGGAGTCAAAGAAATAGTAAGTAAATACATAAATCTTCCTAAATTCTCAAGAGACTGAGCTTTAGCCCTGTGTTTCTTCAGTGACTAATCTCCCATCAAAGACCACAGTCCACTCACTGCTCTCGAGGCTTTGGAGTAATATTATGTATTATAACAAATGTGTTTTAATCAACACCTGGTGTGTGAAGGGTAAAGTTTAAAACTCTAGGTGCTTAAGGGGGAATTTTAATATTTTTTTAATACATAATAATCTGTGGCTCGCTTATTTATTTGCCCTTTCTGTGAAGCTGTTCTTTAATCAACTTTCTGCTGCCTCTATGAGATGTTTTGTGCTGTCAGTGTGAGTTCTGTGGAACGAGGATTGTTCTCTGAGCTTGTGGCCTTAAGGAGTTCTGCCAAGCTTCTGGGTGTGTTGATGTCTCCAAGGACTAAGTCTTTTTAGGCAGAGTCTAGGTGGGCTGATGAAAAAATAATGCAGTGCAAGCTGGAAAGAAAATGAAAGAAAAGCAGCAAAAATTATAAGCAGCTACTGAAGAATGTGGCTACTGGAAGGTAAAAAAACCCCAAACTTGTGTAAACTGAAACACATTTTATTTTCTATTTTTAATTACATGGAGATGTGTAATATGCAGCTCAAGTAGAGAATGCACCCAGTAGTTTCACAGGGATTTTAAGTCATGCTAGTTTGGAATATTAGTCTATTAATTTAAAATGTTCGTTGAGAGATGAGTTGAAATATGAACTTACCTTGGAATCACGATTTTTTTCCTTGCCCTGCTTATGTTTGGTGCTTGTTTCTTTAGAATTTGAACTATCAGCACTGCAAATACGTTTTGCTATTATTGTCCTATTAACTAGAGCACTTAGATTGTATTTAACTATCTGGCTGTGGCCAAACACCCCTGTGACTGCCAGTACACCTGCTGTGCTGTTTAATGCATCAGCACATCCTGGTGCTCTGCAGATACAAGTGTTGACAGATGTTTTTGCTAAAAAAAAATAAGGTGGGGGTTGGAATTTAATTTGATAACACTGTTTGTCCACGTACTTGTCAACCTAAACACTTGAAGTTCTCCCTGGATGAACTAATCCAGAAACAAGCCTGCTCAGCTGACGAGGAGTAGAAACATGAGCCTGAAATAAGCTCTACTTATGTCTTAAGGCATTTTTCTTAGCAAGGGGTTGAGGGGAGAAACGTGTAACATTTCCTTGGAGTGAGAGGGAATGGGTTGGACTCAATAAAATTAAATTTTCTTCTCTAAACGTTGCCACACATCAAACATGGACTTGAGATTTAGTGTCACTAAGCACATTTTCTTTTATATTTCTCATTGCACTAATACAGGTTAAAAATTAAAGCCAGTTTTAAAATTGAGGGTAATTAGTAAAAATAAATAATTAAGGATTTTTAAAGCTATGCCAATCTAAAAATTCCTTTTTGTAGTTGTCAAAATGGTCTGAAATAACTTTATTTCAGTGTAGTTGTGGTATTGTACTGAAATCCAGCATGAGCAAAAATAGTGACACTTTAAGAAGTAGAATGTCCTTTTGTTATCAGAGCTGAACAAACTGGTGTGCTCATCAAGAGCCTCATCAATTTTAATAAGCTATCAGCTCCACAACTATTGGGGAAAGCACTACATGGTAGAATGGGTGGACTTTTGGGAAGAGAGCTGTAAATGCAATCAATAAACCAAGCTGAGGACAAATAGAGGGCTAGGACAATGATACTGCAGGTGGCTTGCCAATTATTTAAGAAAAAAATAAATAACTCTGCATTCTGTTACTGTGTCTGAAGCAGGAGCTTAAAGCAGTTTTGGGATTCCTGGGCAGAAATGTAATAGACTTCTGTCCACATTTCCATGTTGGATGAGCTGGTTGTAGCTATGATCCTACTCAAATTATGGCTTCATTCACCTGTGGACCCCCAAATACCTTGTGTGCTTCCACTCCTCCACAGTCAAGAGCTTGGATTTCTATCCACAAACCCCCAGGGACAAATTCTTTAAGCTTAAATGTTAATGCTTATATGTACATGCTCACCTCTCCTACAGACACAAACCACCAGTTGCTTCTCTGCAGTTGTCTGTATTTTAGTTGTGCATTTTATGTTAAGGTATAGCTCAAGTAAGGCTAAAATGTCTATTTTTTTTCCCCCCTTATAATCAGTTTTCTGTGTCTATATTTTTTTTTTAGTGATAGTAAAGGAAAACTTCATTAATGAAGTAATGGTGCAGTCATAAATTTATCCTTCATATTGCTGATATTACTCCATGGCAATAAAATTTGTGTCCTTTCAATTCAGTTGGCTAAACAGCTGAAACTCCCTTGGTGTATAATTACCAAATGCTGATTATATTTTGGTTTTTAGGGGAATTGGGGTTGGTGGCAGCTTAACCCTGTGAAACTGAGGAGCTGGGCCTGTGAGTGAGGGATCTTTTGGAGAGAAAACTCTGTGACCTGTTGTGTCCAGACTGAAGTGTCTTGTTACTGCCAAAGCCAAGGGTTTG